CCTAGAATAAATATTACTCCTTCTGATCTTAGGGTTCCATTTAAGTTTCAGCGGCGGCAGTTATCACTTATGGTTTCGTATGCCATGACCATAAACAAGAGTCAAGGACAGTCTTTATCCCACGTTGGTCTTTTTATAATGAAGCATGTCTTTAGTCATGGTCAATTATATGTTGTTTCGCGTGTGACTAATAGAAGGGGGTTGAAGATATTAATTTGTGAGAATGAGGAGTTTCCCGATAATCAAACTCATAATGTTGTGTACAATGAAGTCTTTAATAATATATGATTGATTCTTTTTTCAATACTATTTTATTGTACAATTTTCCTGTGTATTGTACAACTTTTATTGAATATTGCATATTAAATTATAATACTCCTCAAATGAATATATCTCTTGTCTCGCACAGGTCACATACTATATATATATATATATCCCGTACATCTTTTTTATTCATTTATATAATTATATGGATATATGGCCTTAAAATTGTGCACCACGTGCATCGCACGGGCTCTGTACTAGTAGTTGTGTATTTATTTTCCAGCCAATATTTTCATCAATTATTATGTACCAAAAAAAAAAAAAAAATTCATCAATTATTTGGCTTTGGTTTCCATTATTTACGGAAATGCTTTTCAATTTAAATATTCATTCAGTCATTCTTAATTTTGTTATTTTATTTCCACCCACTGGGGCTTCGTATATTTTTGTAATTTTTTATTTGTATTTTTGCAAATATTTGTATTTTATTAGTATTTTTTTTTTCTATTTTTTATATGATATGATAGTGAATTTTTTTTTTTTTTTTTCTTATGAGATTGTTTGGCGGAAATGAATCTCCTTGTCAGAAGGTCAAAAGTTGACTTCTTTTCTTTCGAATTCATATGACAATATAGTTTATACATTATCTTAATTAACACGTGTTTGGAATGGAAAGCATACGTGGCATGGGCGTTGGTTGGACTGTACACGTTACGTTATCAATGCGTTGGGTGACGCAAAGAGACCGATTTTTCTCATAACATGAATTTGAATCCTCCACGCTTAAAATTCTAATAATATAGGAGTACTAATTATTTAGTTGAGATTCTTTATCTATCTTTTTGCTTGAGAGATCGACTTGTCACCAAGTTTGCAGGAATTGAAGCGTTACCAAAATCAATAAGTAAGGAGCTCTCATTGTTGTTGTCACTTTGTAACAATCAAATTAAAGATTGTTTATTATACAAAACAAAAAAAAGGTTTATAATTTAGAGAAAACATGCGATATTAACTTACGAATCGCGCGAAATTACTCGTCATTCACCGACACACACGTTGCTAACTTCTTTTTTTCCCCCAATTTACTCATCAATCATCATCGCCAATCAGTGTTTTAAAACGCGCATAGCATGAGAAATTACGTGTTGCATAAGCTAGAATATAATAAAACTTGATGGTTGATTTATATCATAATATTTGAATGATCTCAAAATAACATCTAATAATTATTTTTTACAAACGTTTGATGTAAGTATCATAAACATCTATCTAAATAACAAATCGAATATACTAAAAAGTAATAACAAACAACGAAAATATAATGAGATAAGTCATAATTTAATTTTAAG